GCTTCTTGGTCCCCAGTCTGGGAGCCATCAAAGGGCTGCAGCTGCAGCAGACACAAAGGCTGCAAGGCGGGGGTGAGTTTGGGCAGGCAAAAAAAAAAGGGGGGGAAGCCTCCTGCAAGGGGAGGGGAGGGGGAGCCAGGTGCTGGGGGAGGACAAGGCAGGGGGAGAGACGGAGGAACCAAGGTCTGGAGGGAAAGGGGTGCCAGGACCATGGGCAAACTTTAGCTGTGCCGTTAGATGCCACAAGGAATAGATTGAGGGCGCTGGTCTAATAAATATACTAGTCCTTAAGGTGCCTCAAGATGCTCTGTTGCTTTGCTGCAATGGACCGGCCTTCGCGATTGGGCTGGGAATTGTGAATGCCCAGCTGCAGACGGACAGCCGGTGGGTGCGCATTTGGTGGTTGCTGCACCTCTCCTTCGCCTGCAAAGGGACTCCTAGGGCACAAGGCCTCGGTTGGTTGGTGGGCTGCGGTGTCCTTGGGACTCCAGGTTAAGGGATGAGTAAATGGTGGAGAGACTTCCCTGGAGAAGCGAGCCTGTGGTCTGTGGCTGTTCTTCTCCTCCTCCTCCTCCTGATGTCTTTTAAGATGGAGCATGACTAAGGTGGCCTCTTCATTTATTCCAGCATGGACAGTCAGGATGGGGACCCAAAGGAGGGAGGGGGTCTTAGGGAAAAGGTCCCCAGCACATTTTCCCAAGTTTTGGGGTTCCCTAGCTGAATGTCAAAAGTTTTTGCAGCAAAAGAGGCAACATAGGGGGATCTAAAGCAGGGTTTCTCAACTTTGGCTACCTGAAGATGGGTGGACTTCAACTCCCAGAATTCCTCAGCCAGCCATGTTGGCTGAGGAATTCTGGGAGTTGAAGTTTCCCACCAAATAGCCCCGGTTGAGAAACGTGCTCTAAACCTGGCCACATTCCAGTTGCAGAGATGAGAAACAATGGAGGGGAAGTTAAATAGCCAGGTTTTGAAGATCTAGAATGTGACACGTAGACAGTCCGTAGTTTCTGAGTTGGTAGGGCATAAAAACTGCAGATCCAGATAACCAGAATTTGTAATTTAAACCCACGGGCCACTTCCTGATGACAGGAGTTGTTTGGCAGGACCTTGCAAGAAAGAAAAAAAAATGTTTGGCAGATTGTTTTTGCTGGGCAGCCACCTACATATCCATCTTTGCTTTATACCTCAGTATAGATCAGTGTTTCTCAATCTTGACAATTTTAAGGCATGTGGACTTCAACTCCCAGAATTCCACAGCCAGCAATGCTGGCTGTGGAATTCTGGGAGTTGAAGTCCACATGCCTTAAAATTGTCAAGGTTGAGAAACACTGGATAGATAGGCTGCAGGAATTGGAGGAAACTCCTCTTTGGAGAAGTCTCCAATGTGACCTTGGTTCTAGGGATCTGCACCGAGTTCTCCTACCCAGAGTAGAGCTACATTCTGCAATAGTGAGTATGCTTAATCAAAAAAGAAAAAAAAAAGCTTGCTTACTTCGGTTGTCCTGCCCAAGTTATCTGATTAACATCCTTTAAAATCCTTGTTTTGTTTTAATTTAGGCCTGATTGTTGAAAAAAAAAAAAAAGAAAAGAAATTCAGAGCATTTGCCCATTATATTTAAAGTAAAGAAAGTTAATTTAAAAAAAAAATGTTTGGAAGCAGCATATGCTAAGATAGATAAAAAGAATTTAAAACACTAGCATACATACAGGTAGTCCTCAACTTACCACCATAATTGAGCCCACAATTTATGTTGCTAAGTGAGAAATTTGTTCAGTGAGTTTTGCCCCGTTTTACGACCTTTCTTGCCACCGTTGTTAAGTGAATCACTGCAGTTAAGTTAATAACACGGTTGTTAAGTGAATCTGGCTTCCCCCTTGACTTTGCTTGTAACAGAAGGCAGCAAAAGTGGATCACATGACTACAGGACACCACTTCCGTCATAAATGTGAGTCAGTTGCCAAGCATATGAATTTTGATCACCTGACCATGGGGATACTGCAGTGGTCATAAGTGTGAACAATGGTTGTAAGTCACTTTTTTCACTGCCGTTGTAACTTTGAACGGTCACTAAAAGAACTGTTGTAAGTTGAGGACTACCTGTACTAAATTTTAAGAATAATTACCGCATTTTTTTTAAAAAAAGAACGAGCTACGCAGGTGAGAGTTTCAACAAATTGATGCATATAGGTAACCCTTGACTTATGACTACAACTGAGCCCAAAATTTCTGTTGTTAAGTGAGACAATTATCAAGTGAATTTTGCCTAATAATAGTAATAATAATAATAATAATAATAATAATAATAATAATAATAATAATAATAATAATAATAATAAAGTTGGAAGGGACCTTAGAGGTCACCTGGTCCAACCCCCTGCTCAGGCAGGAAACCTTATACCATTTCGGACAAATGGCTGTCCAGTCTCTTCTTAAAAACTTCCAGTGTTGGAACATTCACCGCTTCTGGAGGCAGGTTGTTCCGCTGGTTAATTGTTCTAACTGTCAGGAAGTTTCTCCTTAGTTCTAGGTCAGTGATGGCGAACCTATGGCACGGGTGCCAGAAGCGGCACTCAGACCCCTCTCTGTGAGCACGTGCGCCGTCGCCCCAGTCCTAGGCCTTCAGCTGGGTTTTATAAAACCTTTTCGCTTTAGGCCTCTGCCGCCGTGTGCAAAAAAAAAAAAAGGTTCAATCAGTCAATTTCAACTTTTTGCAAGAAAAAAAAGATCTTGCAAAGTTGGAATTGATTGATTGAACATTTTAGTCCCACCCAGTCTGCTGTTACTGTCGCAGCCACGCCCACCAATTGGCCATACCCAGCCGATGGGCCACACCCACCCGGCACTTGACGATGCATAAGTGGGTTTTGGGTTGCAGTTTGGGCACTCAGTCTCTAAAAGGTTCGCCATCACTGAACTAGGAGGAGACTAGGGCCCAAGTGATAATAATGAGGGCCTCCCCAAAGGGGGGGGCTCCTAGTCTGGCATGTTGATGGGATCCCTGATTTCAACAGCAGTCAGAGAGAGCGATTCAGAATCATAGAGGAAAAGTCTATGATGATGGTCCATATTTAGGGATTTTTGTCTCTGAATGCCAGTAGCTGCCCCTTGTGGACTCTTCACCAGAAGCCTCTGTCTGATTAGTGGAGGAAATCGAAGGATAGATGGGGAATGCCTTTGCTCTAATCCTGCGTCATTAATCTTCACCTAATCCAGGGGTCCTCAACCTTGGCAACTTTAAGACTTATGGACTTCAATTCTCAGAATTCCTCAGCCAGCTTGGCTAACCCAGGGTCCTCAACCTTGGCAACTTTAAGACTTGTGGACTTCAACTCCCAGAATTCCTCAGCCAGCTCGGCCGGCTGAGGAATTCTGGGAGTTGAAGTCCACAAGTCTTAAAGTTGCCAAGGTGGAGGACCCCTGACCTAATCTATGCTATTGTCCTTTTTCCTAATTAGATGTAATCACTTATACAGATACTCCTTGATTTACAACCATTTGTTTAGTGATCGTCCAAAGTTAGAGTAGCACTGGGGAAAAAAAAAACCTTATGACCATTTTTCACATAGTCACGTAGTCAAAATTCAGCTGCTTGGCAACTGCATGTATTTATGACCGTTCCAGTATCCCGTGGTCGTGTGTTTTGTGACCTTCCGACAGGCGAAGTCAATGGGGGAAGCCTGATTCTCTTTAACGCTTAACATTAAACAGGATTCGTTTAATAGTTGCAACGATTCGCTCAACTGTGACAAAAATCTGTTTTTTTACGGTACTGTTTTTGATAGGTTGGACTGGTTTTTCCCCTTTGTGTAAACTTCAATCCCACATCTTAAGAAAGCAGCAATTTCTTCCAACAGGAACTTTTATTATGAGTAGTTGATAGCAGGCATAATTGACAGGATCTGAGGGATTCCCTTACAGATCGATATTTTAAAAAGCGTCCCTAAGCAAACCCCACCCCACAGTTCATCTGGGCAAATCCCCAGGTGTTAAGTCCATCGATGGGCTCCGTTTGTGCACGATCATTCCACAGCTCTTCACACTTCATTTTGAGGACGGAGAAATAAACAAGGTCCCGGAGGTTTGTATGTCTTCCCCCCTCCCTTTTCCCCAGCTGCCCGGTTAGGGAGGAGAAGTTCAGAGGGATGCATAGTATAGGAGGCAATTTGTTACATTGTAATGGGTAGCAGACACTAAGGCGAATAAACAAAAGGTTACATTGTAGTGAATAGAGGAAGTGAAAGCAATAAAACCGCATGCATATCCCCCCTCCCCCTTGGGAGTATGGCAGAATCCAGGGAAAGGTGAGATTTGGTTTTAGATCAGAGGAGATAGCTAGAAATGAAATATAAATGAATTCTGACAGTGACCTTCCGACAGGCGAAGTCAATGGGGGAAGCCTGATTCTCTTAACGCTTAACATTAAACAGGATTCGTTTAATAGTTGCAACGATTCGCTCAACTGTGACCAAAATCTGTTTTTTACAGTACTGTTTTTGATAGGTTGGACTGTTTTTTTCCCTTTGTGCAAAGACGGATGCAAAAAACGAGTTAAATAGTTCTGCTTTCTTCCTGTTTCTTGTCACCAGTTAGAACTGAAGAAGCCTCTTGGATGAGAAGCGAAACGCTTTAAAGAAAAATCAGAAAATCCAGTTGTCTTTAAAATAAAAGCACCTTCGGGTCAGTTGCTCCCATTTCACCATCAGCTCAGATTTCTAGCTTTCCTACAATTCCTGAATGTCTACAAACTTGGATAACCTCTGTCTTCCCCAGATGTATTGCAACCCACAAGTGCCGGAATTGTATTCCAACTGGGAAATTTGGATGTTGCCCCGTCTCACATGTCTGGAGAAGTGAGACTTAATAAAAGCCCGGTTGAGACCCCTAGGACTCCTTTTTTGCATGCTTAATTTACTTTGCGCTCTCCTTGCAGTCTGTTTTGGGGTGGGGTCTGGATCCCTGTTTGGTATTGAGGTAACCTGATTTTTCATTTTCAATGCAGGAGCTGGATTCAGAAACCCAAATGGAGGAACAGGAAGCTGCTGGAGCTGAATCCCAGGAGGGTTTGGAAGGCAAAGCGCCAGACCTCCACGTGGTTCAGATCGGGGCCACCGGGGAGTTGCTGGAGGGGGCTGTGCCCCCCCAGCAGTTTAAGCAGGAGCCCGAGGACCAATGCTGGGAAAACCAATTACAAGACTTCCTGAAGACCATGCAGCCCTCCCGTTCGGGGTGGAGGAACCCCCGGTCCCCTCACTACATGTTAGGGGAAGACTCCAAGTATTGCCCAACCTCCTTCAAGAGAGCAGAAGAAGAAAACCAGTGGCCGAAAGTAGAGTGCGTATCTGAAACCACACTGGGTGACAGGAAACCCTACGGGAGCAGCCAGGATTCACCCGTGAAGGTGAAGGAAGAAGTCCTGGACGAGGATCCCGTCCACATGGAGGTGCGGAGACAACGGTTCCGTCTTTTCTGCTATGAGGAAGCCGAAGGGCCCCGGGAGGTTTGTAACCAGCTCTGGGAGCTGTGCCATCAGTGGCTCAGGCCGGAGACCCACACCAAGGAGCAGATCCTGGAGTCGCTGATCCTGGAGCAGTTCATGACTGTCCTGCCCCCCGAGATGCAAAGCTGGATCCGGGAACGGGGGCCGGAGACCTGCACGCGGGCCGTCGCCCTGGCTGAACGTTTTTTGCAAGACTCCGAGGAGCCGGAGCAGAAGGTGAGTAAGTGTGGATCTTGGGAGTTGGCAGCTAATTAGTCCTTGGCTTACAACCCTTCATTTAATGACTATTCAGAGTTACAAGGATGCTGGAAAAAAGTGATTTATGACTCTTTTCACACTTACAACCATTGCAGCATTCCCCATGCCTATGTGATCAAAATTCGGACCCTTGGCAAATGTCTCAAATTTATGATGGTTGCGGTATCCCGGGGACATGTGATCACCTTTTGCAACTTTCAGACAAGCCGCATCAATGGGGAAGCCGTCATCACTGAACAATTGTGCTATTAACTGAACCACCACAGTGGTTCTTTTAACAACTGTGGCAAAGGAAGGTTGTACAACGGGGCAAAACCACTGAACAGCTGTCTTGCTTGGCAAAATTTTGGGCTTAATTGTGGTCACAAGTTGAGGACTACCTGTATAGATTACAGTAGAGACAAAGTCATGGCATTTCAGAATAGAGTAGAGTAGAGTAGAGTAGAGTAGAGTAGAGTAGAGTAGAGTAGAGTAGAGTAGAGTAGAACAGAAGAATAGAATAGAAGAATAGAATAGAATAGAATAGAATAGAATAGAATAGAATAGAATAGAATAGAATAGAATAGAATGGGACCTTGGAGGTCATCTAGTCCAACCCCCTGCTCAGGCAGGAAACCCTATACCATTTCAGACAAATGGCTGTCCAGTCTCTTCTTAAAAACTTCCAATGTTGGAGCATTCACTGCTTCTGGAGGCAGGTTGTTCCATTGGTTAATTGTTCTAACTGTCAGGAAATTTCTCCTTAGTTCTAGGTTGCTTCTCTCCTTGATCAGTTTCCATCCGTTGCTTCTTGTCCTGCCTTCAGGCGCTTTGGGGAACAGCTTGACTCCCTCTTCTTTGGGGCAGCCCCTGAGATATTGGAACACTGCTATCCTGTCCCCCGTCTTTCTCTTCATTAAACTAGAGACATATCCAATTTTAAGTGTGAGGCTGTGTTGTTATGGACTGTGAGAATAACCTTGGGAGGATGAGCTGCAGCCTGGACAAGAGATCTCTCAGCCCACAGAAGGAAAGGGGGGTGGGTGGGGTGGAGAAAGGGTCTCAGGAGGACCCCATCCCCCAGTTCTTTAGTAAGTAAAGGGAGGGAGGGATGGATGTGCGTTCAGGTTTGCAAAATTCTGTTACTATAACATTACAATAAAAATACTATCAGTGTTTGTAGTATGAGTTTCCTGCCTGGCCTACCTCGAAGGGCTGATATGCCTCCATGAAGCTTTACGGTTTTCCTTCTCCTTTGTGTTTTATCAGAACAGTTAACACAGGTAGTCCCCGCCTTAGGACCATTCGTTTAGTTTACAACGGCACTGAAAAATGTGACTTATGATCAGGGCTGTGGAGTTGGAATCGGAGTCGAGGAGTCGGAGGAAATTTTGGGTACCTGGAGTCGGAGTCGGCAAACAATGCACCGACTCCAACTCCTACTAAATTTAGATTGGAATTAAAAAAAAAGCAAGTTTAAATGTCCCAATTTACAAAAAGTTATAATTAATGACTTCTCTACTGTAAGAATAAAGACCAATGCATGCAGTGCCTCACGTAACCGCAAAACGAACACGTTAAGTGACCATGAAGAAGCATGCTTTTCATGTGCTTCACTATATGGCACGCAACGCACAATTAGGAGCGGCAATACTTATACTTTCCATAGTGTTGTGTTCTGCTGTTACAGGGAACGCAGCGCCCATGGGTAACCTAGCCTCTCACTGATAAGGGATTAAGTAAATATGTTTTTTGCAGGACTAGAGACACTTGTATAAGTGAAGGGAATTGAGGGTCAATAGTTCAAGACTGAAGCTGTAAACCATTGGAAAAACTGCTGTCATTCAGCTAAGGCTATAAAAACTTGTAAACTCCGATTGTTAGCTTATTAATACAGAGGAGTCGGAGTCGGGGAGTCGGAAGTACAAAAAACTGAGGAGTCGGAGTCGGAACATTTATCTACCGACTCCACAGCCCTGCTTATGATCGTATGTCACACTTACGCCCTTTGCATCCTCGCCATGATCATGTGATCAAAATTCAGATGCTGGGCCTGCTGATCGATACCGAAAATCTGGAGGCATAAACACATTCCTGTTGCTACAGCAGAGATTAGGCTGATCTCCAGCCGACAAGGTTCACTCGTTCAAATTTAAAACATACAGAACCTCCACATTCAGGAGCAGCAGTTTATCTTTTATGACCAGATGTTTGACACTGTCAACAATTTTGATTGGGAGGCAGACCCGTAAATGGCTCTCTGATCATTCTGTTTCTCCAATACGAACTGTATTCAAATGCATTTTTTGCTTTGTTTTTTTGCATTTAGGTGTCAGGAACTTTAGAACAGGGGTTTAATTCTCCCAAATCGGATCATTCTTCGCCTCATGTCCTGAAGGTGCAGCTCCCTTTGGAAAAGAAGCAGGAGGATGATTGGGAGGCCACTTTGTCAGGCAAGTTAGCTTGAATCTTTCGTTTTGTTGGTGGTGGTGTTATTTTCTGCTATGGTTTCTTTGTGGTCTCTTTTCCCTTTCCTCCATCGTCCCTGCAGAGTTCCCAGGCAGGAGTGCAAGCGCCTCCGTTGGTTTTGAGATGTTCCTCCTTTAACTTCCCCAAACACTCTAATAACAGAATAACAGAGTTGGAAGGGACCTCGGAGATCTTCTAGTCCAGGAGTGTCAAACTCAATTTCATTGAGGGCCGCATCAGCATTGCGGTTGCCCTTGGGGGGTGTGTGGCCAGGATGGGTACAGCCTACTGGGTGGGTGTAGATGGAGTGGGTGTGGCCTACTGGGTGGGCATGGCCAGCTCTACATTGTTCGCGTCAAGGGGGCCTGTGGGGGCCTGGGCAGGAGTGGGACAGATCTGGGGGTCTCTGGCAGAAGGGGGTGGGACCAGGACCACTTCCAGGTGATGATGCATTTCTTCATTCCTCACAAAGGGTGACACCTCCCCAGCATGCACCCAGGGAGCGGGGCCGACGCGGCAGGGGCTGGTTCCTCGCTGTTTCCAGCCGGCCTTGTTGAGCTAAGACTGAATGCATTTCAGCATAGATGGCCACCACAAAATTGTACATTGGCTCCCGGCCGGCCTGGGCCAGGGCCATGGCAGTGGGGGCCGTTCCCTCACTGCTTCCAGGATGGCTTTGTGGGCCACATGAAACCACTTCGCGGGCCGTATCCGGCCCCTGGGCCTTGTGTTTGACATGTCTGTTCTAGTCCAACCTTTGTGGCTTGGCGGCCCATCTGGAGAGAGAGAACCGTGCTGCTTAAGTGACTCATACGAGCAGCATGCCGGCGTGAACACGCAGCCCAACTAGTTGAGCTGCGCATATGCTGGCCCGCCACTCACATGGCCTGGTTCCCCTCTCCCCCCTCAGCCAGGCGAGCTGCAGTGTGCAAGCTGCGAGCTCACACGCCAGCCCGCCACTCGTGCGAGTTGAGCTTGCATGCACATCCATACCACTCCGCCGTTCACGTGGCCCGGTTGCAAATAGACCAGGGCCCGGTAGTGGGCCACGGTCTGGGGGTTGGGGACCTTTGTTCTGGTCCAACCCCCTTCTCAAGCAGGAAATCCTATTACATTTCAGACAAATTGTCGTCCAATCTCTTCTTTAAAATCTCCAGTGTTGGAGCACCCAGAGTTCTCAAGGTCCCTTCTGATTCCTCTAGATCAGGGGTAGGCAACCTGGGCTCTTTCATGACTCGTGGACTTCAACTCCCAGAATTCCTGAGCCAGCCACGCTGAGGTGAAAGGGAGAGGTTACCAAGCTGAGCCAGGCTGGCTCAGGAATTCTGGGAGTTGAAGTCCACGAGTCATAAAAGAGCCAAGGTTGCCTACCCCTGCTCTAGGTCGTCATTCTGGGAAGCAGGAATTTCAGAGACACAGGGATCAGGTGGATCAGCAACAGCCAGCCTTAGGCAAGGCTCTTAGCCTCTTAGAGCTGTGTCGCTCGGACTGACAAAGGATTGTTCTGGAACAATCAGTATTAGAGCATTAAGGTAGGCATCAGCCAACTTGCTTCAACGGCAATAGGTCCCAAGGCCTATACCGGGGTAGGCAACCTTGGCTCTTTTATGACTTGTGGACTTCAACTCCCAGAATTCCTGAGCCAGCATGGCTCAGCTTGGAAACCTCTCCCTTTCCCCTCAGCGTGGCTGGCTCAGGAATTCTGGGAGTTGAAGTCCACGAGTCATAAAAGAACCAAGGTTGCCTACCCCTGTTCTGGCCATTTCTATAATAACAAACGTATCTAATCAGCAAAACCCAAAGTCAGAGTTTCATTTTTTTTCCATCTCAAATTCAAAGTCCAGAAGCAGTTTCCAAGTGGAAACATCTGTATTCTTTTCTTTGATTCGGGAAGTTAATTTAGCCATCTCTGTTAATTCCATCAGTTTTCCCAGCCAGTCATCCATTGTGGAATTAAAAATATCTTTCCGTTTTTTGTGCATAGAGCATTCTTGCTGCTGTCAGAGTATACGACAATGAAGTTCCTCTTTTTCCCCCCAAGTCCTTCATTCATTAAACCTAAAAAAGAAAAGTCTCTGGTTTTATCTGTATATTCGCTTTAAGAATCTTCTGTATTAAGATGTGAATCCTACTCCAATATTTGTTTTTGCTTTGTTGCAACTCCACCAGAGATGGTTAAAAAGGTCCTCCTTTACCGAGTTCTCGTGCTGCTGAAGGCCGAAGAGTTGGAGCGAAGCTTTTGTGATTTCCAGATTTGGTGAAGATGGAGAGACTGTCCTAACTTTTATCTTTTCTTTTTTTGTCGTCACAGGGAACGAGCAAGTGCAGGAAGAGGGAGAGGAGGAGGAATCTTTCCCGGCCAGCCATCCTGAACCGACAATTAGTGGTGGGTTATCCCTGGAAAGAGCCGCAGGGAAGGGTTTCCAAGGCCCCGAGTCGGACGAGAATCCCGAAGGTCACTCCGAAAGCCATCCTGGAAAGGTGACCAAACGCTTTGAGGAGAGCAGCAGAGGCGCCCGGGAAAGCTCCTCTCAGGAGGGGATTCCCCGGCACGTCGACTCGGGGGAAAGTTCCGGCAAAAGCTTTGGCCCTCAGGAAATTCAACCGATGGAGAAACCTCACAAGTGCTCGTTCTGTGGGGCCAGTTTCTATGAGAGAACTCACCTCATCATCCACGAGAGGATCCACACCGGAGAGAAGCCCTACAAGTGCTCGGTCTGCGAGACGTGGTTCTCTCATCCTTCCGAGCTGATGCGGCACGAGGAGACCCACATGCCTGAGAAACCGCACAAGTGTGCTGTCTGCGGCAAGAGCTTCAACCAGAAAGCCTCCCTCATCACCCACGAGAGGACGCACACGGGGGAGAAGCCCTACGAGTGCTCCGAGTGCGGGAAGAGCTTCAGCACCAGCTCCCAGCTCATCACCCATAAGAGGGTCCACACGGGGGAGAAGCCCTACAGTTGCTCCTACTGCGGGAAGAACTTCAACCAGAAGGCCTCCCTGATCACGCACAAGCGGACGCACACGGGCGAGAAGCCCTACGAGTGCACACTCTGCGGGAAAAGCTTCAGCGCCTGCTCCCAGATCATCAACCACATCCGGGTGCACACGGGAGAGAAGCCCTACGAGTGCCTGGAGTGCGGGAAGCGTTTCGGCAGCAGCTCCCACCTGACGGATCACAAGCGGACGCACACAGGCGAGAAGCCGTACAAGTGCCCCGACTGCGGGAAGAACTTCAGCCGGAGTTCCAACCTTACGGCTCACAGCCGGATCCACACAGGAGAGAAGCCATATATATGCTCAGGTTGTGGCAAGAGCTTCAGGCAAAAGGCCTCCCTCATCACCCACAAGAGGACTCACACGGGGGAGAAGCCCTTCGAATGCGCCGAGTGCGGGAAAAGCTTCATTTCCAGTTCTCGTCTCGTCAGCCATAAACGGGTCCACACGGGGGAGAAACCCTACGAATGCTTAGAGTGCGGGAAATGCTTTATCTCCAGTTCTCACCTTCTAAGCCATAAAAGGGTCCATACGGGAGAGGAACCTTTGAAATGCTCGTAGAACGGAAAGCGTTGCCGATGTGGCACCGGGCTGGCTTCCATGTGACTCTAGCGGGGAATCCTATATCTCCGGGATGGCGTAGCACCTGTAGCTCTGAAGGCCGTTCCATTTCCTCGATGCACCATTGAAAAGTTTTTAAAGAACTTTGTTTTTTTTTGTTTTTTTTAAATAAGCCCAGGGATGTTCCTGCAAGATCTACTTTCTGGTTTTCTTGGTAAGGCCAGCTGACTATGCACTCTGGCCCTTATGTATCTCCGTGCACATCAGCATGTAGAAGATGCAGGCTTGGCTTGCATGAACAGTGCTCTCCACTTCCCGAAAGAGGCAGAAGGGATCGCCCATGGATGTAAACACCATGTATACAGGATACTGACCAAGCTGGTGGGGCCAAAGCATTGACTCAAAAAAAGGTCTGTCTCACAGCGTCCCACATGACAGCTCTGCCAGTCTCAGCAGCTGAACCAGCCTTGCTATAAGATAGAGCAGGATGGGCAACTACGGCCCCTTTACGACCTGTAGACTTCAACTCCCAGAATTCCTGAGCCAGCCATCTTGTTCGTTGTGCAAACCGAGCCCAGTTCAGGAGTACTGCTAGGATAGTTGGGCTCTTGTAACTGCCCAGACTAGCTGCTCTGAGAGGAAACAATGGCCCTTTTATGACTTGTGGACTTCAATCCCCAGAATTCCTGAGCCAGATATGCTGGCTCAGGAATTCTGGGAGTTGAAGTCCACAGGTCGTAAAGGGGCCTTATAATTGTCCATCCCTGAGATAGAGAATAGCTAAGGGGAAATTTGACAGTGAGATAGTTGGAAGATGAAGAGATTTTTGCAGACCTTATGTCTTTCTACCTGCCTGCCTGCCCTCAAGAATTTTCCCCCCTGTTTTCCTGATCAGAGAGAACCTAAAAAGTCCCTGAGTAGTCACTGCTCTGAATATTGTAAAAGATGTACGAAATACTTCACCTGTGTTCATTTTACACCTCTGAGCAAAACATTCTCCAGTGATTTCCCCTTTTCTGCCACAAAACTGCAGTTTGCGAAATGTGGCCCGACCAGATGCAGAGAAAACCTCAAGGCTGGGTTGATATAACACTCTAAACCAGGGGTAGGCAATCTTGGCTCTTTTATGACTTGTGGACTTCAACTCCCAGAATTCCTGAGCCAGCATGGCTCAGCTTGGAAACCTCTCCCTTTCCCCTCAGCATGGCTGGCTGAGGAATTCTGGGAGTTGAAGTCCACGAGTCATAAAAGAGCCAAGGTTGCCTACCGCTGCTCTAAACCAATGTTTCTCAGATTTGTCAACTTTAAGATGTGTGGACCTCAACTCCCAGAATTCATAGCAATGGCTGGAGAATTCTGAGTGTTGAGGTTCACACATCTTAAAAGTTGCTGAGATTGAAAAATAGTGGGCTAAACCCTAACTTCAGGTTGACAAAGCCCAATTGCTTGGTGTTATTCATCTAACACACTAAACAAATAACTATGGCTTAATGAGATGGTCCGGTTCACTCGGCTTTCCAAGACGAGAGATTTACAGGTAGTCCTTGACTTACAACCATAATGGAGCCTGCCCATCGTGGTCATAAATCAGGAGTCTCCTACCTTGGCAACTTTATGACTGGTGGACTTCAACTCCCAGAATTCCTCAGCCAGGCACGCTGGCTGAGGAATTCTGGGAGTTGAAGTCCACCAGTCATAAAGTTACCAAGGTTGGAGGCCCCTTTCATAAATCATGATGATTGTAAAACAATTGTATGGCCTTTTTGCAGCAGTCCTCTGCTACAGTCATAAAGTAAATGCCATGGTAGTTCAGCAAACATGGTGGACTTTAAGCAAACCAATGGTGCACTGTGGGCCCCGTTTTGCCGAAAACCAGAAGCAAATGCCGGTTTTCAGCATAACTGGTGTAAAACGTGGTCACCTGACTGTGGGACAGTACAAATAGCTGTAAATGTGACCTTGTTGCCAAGCTCCCAATGTTTGGTCACGTGACTGCAGGGGGGAAGCAACCATCAGCGCTTTGAATCCGGGTTGTCAGTAGTCACAAGGTAGGCCTGTCTTAACTGGTTGCTAAGCGACCGCTTGTAAGTTGAGGATGTCTGTAGCCCCACTGTAGCCTAATCTAGTTCGTTGTGCAAACTGGGCCCAGTTCAGGAGTACTGCCAGGATTCTTGGAGTCTTGTAACTGCCCAGACTAGCTGCTCTGACAGGGAACAATGGCCCTCTTATGACTTGTGGACTTCAACTCCCAGAATTCCTGAGCCAGACATGTTGGAAGTTGAAGTCCACAGGTCATAAAGGGGCCATAGTTGCCCACCCTTGCTCTTACGTCAGCACTGCAATTCTGTAATGTTTGGGGACGTATGGACTGAGATGCCATGTAGCTCGTGTTTGGTGGATGATGGGAAGCAGAATGCAGGAGTAGATGGCGTGAACTTGCAAAATCCCGCTTCTTAATTTCTGTCATCTGTCCCTCTATATATGAGGCAGTGCTGTACAAAATGGGTATCAAGAGAGACATACTTCCCAAAAAGTGTGTGCAAGAGAGAATTTTAGGAGTATGTTGTATTTTGGGGAGAAAAAAACCATTCTCACATAATTCACACGTGCGTGGGCTGCAGACTTGAGCAGTGATCTCATTGCAAAACATGGAGATATGGAAGAAATACAAGGTGGTGACATCTGGTCTCTAAGTGATTCTTTTCACCCGTACAAAGTCCTTATTTAAAGCTTCCTGCATCCAGCAAGCATGTAGTTTGCATGTATGAACTGCTCCAGGGGGTGTTCTGTTTATGTTCTGGAGGATGGGGTGTTTTCCCCCTTCCCCCATGCATGTGGGAAAATAGGGAAGAGAAGGGTCTGGATCCACTGGAAAGAAAGGATCTTATAGGCAAATAGGAAGGAAGAAGCTGGGATATGTTTACGTCAATATCAAATGGGTGTGATGGAAAGAGAAACATATACTGGCTGTAGAAAGTCTGCACCCCCTGTTAAAATGCCAGTTTTTTGAGATGTAAAAAAATCAGACCAAGATTAATCATTTCAGAATTTTTTTCCCCACCTTTAATATAACATATAAGCTGTACAATTCAGTCGAAAAATGAAGCAAAATTATTTAGTGGGGGGAAAAATGAAAATTAAAAAAACTAGAATAATGTGGCTGTATAAGTGTTCACATCCTTTTATAGGTAGGGATGTGGCTATGTTCAGAAGTAACCAATCACATTCAAACTGAGGTTAAATAGCAGTCAGTACATGCCTGCCATTAATTAAAGTGACTCTGATCAAGCCCATTAATATTCAGCTATTCTAATAGGATTTTTCTGATGGTTTTTACTCAGTTACCTCTTACAGCTAAAGCCATGGCCTGCAAAAGAGCTTACAAAGCCACGGAGGAATCTTTTGTCGGAAGGTATCAGTCAAGAAACAAATTCAAAAACTTTTTGAAGGCGTTGGATATACCATGGGACACTTTGAAGACAGTCTTCAACAGTGGAGAAAATATGGTACAACAGGGACATTACCAAGAACTGGATGTCCTTTCAAAATGGATGAAAAAGGAAAATTAATCTGAGAGGCTGCCAAGAGGCTTACAGCAACATTAAAAGGAGCTGAAGGAATTTCTGGCAAGTACTGGTTGTGTAGCACATGTGAAAACAATCTCCTGTAACATCCCAATCAGCATAGAAAAAAAGCACATACCACAGGCACCATATAAATACCACACACAGAACAGCCCAAAGCACACACACTGCTAGAGAGAAGTTCCCTGAAGATGGGCTCCAGCATGAATCCAAAAGTCTTGGATGGAAAATAAAACTTCTGGTCCCGGTGACCGACCCAGATTGGATCCTGCAACATTATCCCCGGGACACGTATGTTCGCCTTCATTCATGACAATCTCCCCGTATTCTTCATATGTCTGGACTGTGGGGTAGGGTGGCAAGATGGAAGCCTTTTTCTTACAAACAATAAATAAATAAAAATAAATCCCCCCATCTAAGCCTAGCTATATTTTGCAAAAATCTACATTTAGTCTGACAAAAGCATGTGGGGGAAAAATGTTAAGTTCTGATGGGAGCAAGGCTGAACCTTTTGGCCGTAATTGCAAAAAAAAAAAAAATACGATTGGCGCAAAAACAACACTGCGCATTACCCAAAGCGTGGTGATGGCAGCATTATGCATTGGGGCTGCTTTTCTTCAGCTGGAGCTGGAGGCCTTAGTCAAGGTGGAGGGAATTGTGAACCGTTCCAAATGTCAGCCTATTTTGGGCAACCTAACCCTTCAGGACTCTGCTACAAGGCTACAAAATGAAGATGAATTTTTACCTTCCAACACAATGACTCAAAGCATACCTCCGAATCGATAAAAGAATGGCTTCACCAGAAGAAGGATCCACATTTTGGAACGGCTCGGATCTGAACCCAATTAAAAATGTGCGGAGTAACTTGGAAGAGGGGCCTGGCACAGGAGATGCCCGAACAATCTGACAGATTAGGAGCACTTTTTGCGAGGAAGAGCGGGCAAAGATTCCCAAGGCAAGATGTGGTTATCTCAAAAGATTGCATGCATGCTGTCATAAAACCAAAAGGGGCTTCCACAAAGCATTAGCTTAAGGGTGTGCATCTTTATGCAACCCACGTTATTGTAAATTTTTCATTTGTTAGTTTTCCCTCTAGAACAGACATGTCAAAACACAAGGCCCGGGGGCCGGGTGCGGCCCGCGAAGTGGTTTCATGCGGCCCGCAAAGCCATCCTGGAAACAGTGAGAGAACGGCCCCCGCTGCCTTGGCCCTGGCCCAGGCCGGCCGGGAGCCAATGTACAATTTTGTGATGGCCATCTTGGCACTTGCCCCGGTCCCACCCCCTTCTGCCAGAGACCCTCAGATCTGTCCCACTCCTGCCCAGGCCCCCAGGCACCCTTGATGCGAATGATGTAGAGCTGGCCATGCCCACCCAGTAGGCTTCATCCACTCCATCCACACCTACCCAGTAGGCT